TAGACCTGCTTCGCTTCAGCAAGGTGGTGGCCTTGTTTGCCTTTAAACCAAAAATAGGTTCTTATGCTCATCCTGCTGTTGTGTAGTCCTAGGATTATTGCACCATGCTCTTTTTTCTGACTGTGTCGATTTACCCAAAGTCAGGAGCAGAGAGTGTGGGAGAATTAAAAGCAAGAGCTAGAAAGATGAAGCTGATATGGAGCTTGACAGGGAGCCAGTGAACGGACGTTCATGGAATGTGTTTATAGTGATGGGAAGATGAGTTTAGCAGAAACATCCACAGTTAGCAGGCAGGGGCATCCTGGTGGGAGGAAAAGAGGACGAGAATGGCCTTTGATGCAAACTCAACTAAGTACAGCTCAGCAACAGAGCCAGTGCCCTTCCTGCAGGACCAAGATGACCTACTCAGCTATGCTCATTTGGTACCTCTGAGCAAGTCACTCTCTTTGTGCTTCCATTAGATAAATGTAACCCACTCCACTGACTTGTTGGGATGATGAATGAGGTATGAAGCGATTCAAGACAGGTTAGGCTATGAATCTGAAGTCCCATCTGATCGATTAGATACTGGACTACTCTCTTCCATTTATTTCCTGGTGCTTGGCCAAACAGTAATGCACATATAGGCCAAACTTCTTAGTAGGAAGTGGGCCTCCCTAAAGAGGCATTGGCAGTCGTACTGGAGGTATTAACAGTTGCTTCATGGGGAACGAGATCCTTCTCGGTTTTTTGGGTACCTTGACTGAGTCTGTCTAACCTTTGGCATTCGTTGAGGGGACCTCTGTGGCCTTTGGGCATCATGAGCCTAGAACAGGGCCAGAAAGATCCAAAGGTGACTGATAGGGAGGTGTAGCTCTTCAGACTCAGGCTCTGGGCAGGGGTTGGTAGATCTGTTATATGGCCTGGAGCTAATCTTGTAAGGGGTGTGAGATCCTGTACAGCAGAGCATGTGAAACTGTTGCTGGACTCCTTCAGCCCTGATCACTGGCTGTGCCGGCTGAACCTGATGGGAATTCTAGTCCAATAACACTTGGAGGGCCACCCACAGGTTCTCCATTCCTGATGTGTACAGGCTGTGAGGTCAGGCAGACGAAAGATATACAGATCGTGCTGATATGCCTGGTTTTAATTTTAAAAGAAATTCAAAGTGATTAATGTTAAATACAGTATAACTGTTTTTTGTTGATGATGTGAACCACCCTATGATCTTTGGATGAAGGGTGTAATAATAATAATAATAATAATAATAATAATAGTAATACCCCGCCCATCTTGCTGGATTTCTCCAGCCACTCTGGGCAGCCTACAGCACATATAAAAAGATAGTAAAACATGCAAAATTTAGTAATAATAATAATAATAATCCGCAGCAGCAGCTCCCCTTAATTTCAGTGAGTCTTGTGCAGGAGGACTTGATGGCTCGCTCCATGTTGGCTCCATTGGACTTTCTCCCTACTTCACCTGGTGCCCAAACTTCAGGCAGGACTGAGCTTCAGTCTGGGCCCGGAAATGGCACCACCATGGAGGGAATGAGATGCCCCATTTATTTCCCACTGAGTTACTTCCTTTATCAGAAGCCTTAGGAACTCTGTTGGGTTGCATCCTTCTGACCTTAAGGAGAGCAAAGCTCAAGCTATATGCTTATGGGGAAACAGTGGCACGAGTGCCACCAGCATGAGTTTTCCAGAAGAAAATGTGATTTGGCGTGATTGCGTGTGATTTCTCTGCTTACTTGGCTGCTGTTCATAACAGTGGGGAAACAGGGAAGCGCTCATGCAACAATGTTGTGTGTTTTGTTTTTCTACTGTGCATTACCAGTCAGACGCAGATTGGTGGTGCCCATTAGCTGCTGTTTGGGCTACAGGTTTTGTATCTGAGCTGCTTCTCTTTGGAGAGACCTTCAGAGAGACTCTGATCTTTTCTTTTCTTTTCCTTCTCCTAAGGAGGCACACTCTGGTACACTTTGACACATTCTGATGAGGACCAGTTCCCTCTGCCAAAGTTGTCTCCCACAACCTTTCTCCACACAGAACATCTCCCAAGCTCTAGGAAAACTCCCACAACTTCTCCACCTAGATAACAGACACAGACACCTAATTCTTTTGCCTTTCTGCTGGATAGCATTTCTTTAGCCTTGCCCTCAGTTGCCCCTCATTCCTCGCCAGGCACTCGCACACGCATGCACACAACACACGCACACACACACACACACCTCCAATAATTCCTCTGCCTGGGCCTCATGCCCTTATAAATCTCTGCAGCAGAGTTCTCCAGCCTGCTATTAGGCACGTGCCTGGCCAATTTCCCTCCCCGCTTCAGCTGCCCCTTGTGTTACATTCACCTCATTTTGCTGATGGAGTGCTTTCCAGCAAAGTCCTTAAAAGCAGCTGTTCAGAGATGAAGCCCAACGCCGCTGCTTCAGCTGACGGTTGTCATGCAATGACGATGCTTTGCATTGCCCTGTGTAGAGCAATTTCCACATCTAAGGAGTCCTTCCTTATTGTGCTTGACAGCGGGTGTGGAGTGCATTCAGCTTTTCTGTACGGCAGCACTCCCCACCCCCTGCCTCGCCTTCCAAGCCAGAACAAAAGTGACATGGAGCTTGACAGCCTGATGAACGCATTAGACAGACTGCTGGCATGATCAGCATGTATGTGTGCATGCAGGCATATCTCTCTATATCCACCCCCACCCACCCATGCGTGAACACCTCGATGTGGTTAGTTTACCTGATGTCCTGGTCCAGTCCCCGAGATAACTCTGTGGGAATTTGTTTATTGAGTTCTGGATAAGCCACAATAGTGGGATGAGCATGTGTCTTTTGTATTCACCCTGCTGAGGCACAGTGGTGGCGGCTGCGCAACAATATGATTACACCCAGACCAGTCACTTCATAATGCTTGGCAGAGCAATAGCAGCATCCCAAGCACAAGGTGGTGCCCAGGAGCTAAGGCTGCCTCTGTCATCCAGCAGCAAAACGGGGGTGAGGGATTGAAATAATAGCCTGAAATCACCTGTTTTGCTACACTGGACCTTGCACCCAGCATAAGTGGAACAAAAATGTCCTGCGAGTGCGAATGGTCTTATCACCTCGCCCCACTCCTCCTTAAACCATGTCTCTTTAGCCTCCCTGCCCCCCTGCCCTGGGAAGGCCTCTTTGGGTGCTTCCAGGCAGCCTGTTTATGGAAAGTTCATCCTGACTTGTTTGCAGGAAGATTAGACAATGAATGAGCATCCATTCTGACTTGTATGTTGGGAGGTTAGAGGATGCTGCCTCAAAGCAAGTGTTATTATCCTACACTTTCCACGTGCCTTGCCCCATCATATTATTTATTTATTTATTTATACATACATACATACATACATACATACATACATACATAGATGCATACATACCCCGCCCTCTGGCTGGGTTTCCCCAGCCACTCTGGGCAGCTCCTAACCAAATATTAAAACACAATACAGCATTAAACATTAAAAACTTCCCGAAACAGGGCTGCCTTCAGATGTCTTTTAAAAGTAGGATAGTTGCTTATTTCTTTGACATCTGACAGGAGGGCGTTCCACAGGGCAGGCACCACTACCGAGAAGGCCCTCTGCCTGCTTCCCTGTAACTTCGCTTCTCGCAGTGAGGGAACTGCCAGAAGGCCCTTGGCGCTGGACCTCAGTGTGGAGATGCTGAACAATGGGGGTGGAGATGCTCCTTCAGGTATACAGGACCGAGGCCGTTTAGGGCTTTAAAGGTCAGCACCAACACTTTGAATTGTGCTCGGAAACGTACTGGGAGCCAATGCAGATCTCTCAGGACCAGTGTTATATGGTCTTGGCAGCCAATCCCAGTCACCAGTCTAGCTGCGGCATTCTGGATTAATTGCAGTTTTCGAGTCACCTTCAAAGGTATCCCCACATAGAGCGCATTGCAGTAGTCCAAGCAGGAGGTAACTAGAGCATGCACCACTCTGGCGAGACAGTCTGTGGGCAGGTAGCCTGTGTACTAGATGGAGCTGGTAGACAGCTGCCCTGGACACAGAATGGACCTGCGCCTCCATGGACAGCTGTGAGTCCAAAATGACTCCCAGGCTGCGCTCCTGTTCCTTCAGGGGCACAGTTACCCCAATCAGGACCAGGGAGTCCCCCAAACCAGCCTGCCCCATGTCCCCCCAAAATAGTACTTCTGTCTTGTCAGGATACAACTTCAATCCATTAGCCACCATCCATCCTTCAGCTGCCTCCAGGCACTCACACAGGACCTTCACTGCCCTCACTGGTTCTGATTTAAAAGAGAGGTAGAGCTGGGTGTCATCCACATATTGATGAACACCCAGCCCAAACCCCCTGATGAGCTCTCCCAGCGCTTCACATAGATGTTAAAAAGCATGGGGGAGAGGATGGAACCCTGAGGCACCCCACAAGTGAAAGCCCAGGGGTCTGAACACGGCCCAGGAGGAAGGAGAAGAACCACTGTATAACACTTATTGAAAAAGAAGTCCAATCTTTTGGGGGAGCTTTTTTGTTTTTGTTCGGCTCAATACCTCCCAATCAACTGTAATTGAATTTGCCAGTATGTAATTGCATCCCACCAGAAAATAGTGACAGTCTGAAAGCACCTTATATGAAGAAAGCAGATAGGTAATAATACCAGTGTAACCTGCATCCAAGTTCTCTTTCCTCCCTCTCCCCCCAGCACTCAGCATTCCATGCCCACAGAGCCTCTTTCATCCTAATTGGGCTGTATGGCGCATATTCCCCTCCCGAGGGTCCTGCCCCTGGAACCATTGTGGTACTTCTGTAAACCTTAGGGTTTCCCCAAGTCCACTGATACCTCCCTCTGGTGCAACAGCACTCACAAAATTAAGGTTGCTATTAATATGTGTGATAACACTATTATTGGGGTAACTGGCTCAATTACCTATTATTCTTTAGATAGAATCATAGAATTGTTGAGTTGAAAGAGACCACAAGGCTCATCTAGTCCAACCCCCTGCAATGCAGGAATCTTTTGCCCAACATGGGGCTCAAACTCACAACCCTGAGATTGAAAGTCTCAAACTCTACCGACTGAGACAGAGTCTTCGAAGCCCTTTCTTATACTAAGTGTGCAGTGTTTGCTTAGTGAATCTGGTTAGAGAGTAGACTACACCTGCTGCAGTCTGACACACATAGATGCTTGTATGTAAAAATAATAATAAAGTTGTTTGTTGTAGGAGATGCATAACTTGGATGGAAAAGGTTTCTAGTTCTAGTCTAACTAGTCTAGAGAAGAACAAGGCAGCCATGAGGATGGTTAAAGATGACCTCCCATATTGAGGTCCGAGAGAGAAGTGTGAGGAAGAGGAGGAAGCTGTAAATGGGATATTGCCTAAGATGTATCAGTCTATAGACAACAAAAATAATGAGAGAGAGAGAGAGAGAGAGAGAGAGAGAAGTCCGCAGAGAGATAAAGGTACAGGGATAGTCTGGTAATTAGGAGGTTCCTTACTTGGTCAGTGTAAACTCTTCTCCTGCAAACTTCCAACAAGAATAAAGAGAACTGCTTCTGAGCATGTACCAAGTGCTTTTCCTTCTCCACACTGAGTAAGGAGCAGGGCTTCCCATATAAACCTGAGTACCAAAGATTCTCAGGAAGTTATTTCCATATTGTGCAGCTTTTTGGTGCTCTCACACAGGAGACATACTCAATCCCTAACAGGGCTGGCTCTACCATTAGACAGAGAGAGGTGGCTGCCTCAGGTGGTAAGGGCTGAGGGGGAGGCAGTGAAGTGTTAGAAGACAGAGTTGCGGGGGGAATGTTGTGGATAGTAGGAGAGGATATATTGATTAAATATTATCCTTCTTCACTCACACTAGTGAGCTAGTAGCAGAGCACATTCCCTTGCACATTGCTGGAAGTTAGTTGATAGATTCATTGGAATCGTATAAGTTGAGCAATCCAGTCTGGCTTGTCCAGATTGGATTGTTCCTGGTAAATTTCCTATTTAGTTCCCTCTTAAAAACAGTAATGACACAACAGTCTTCTTTTAAAAGTAATGATCATTACTTACGGTACATTCAGTTCACAGAATTGTCCTGAAGGCAGGCATTATCTTGTAGTTACAGAGAAAAGTGTGGGTACATCCTCTGTGAGGGATGAGCCCATGTGTTGCTGGCTGAGAGCCAGCAGACAGCAAAAGGCAAAATGGAGAGAAGGGATCAAGAGAGAGAGAGATGGCTGCATGACTAGCCCTTTTGTAGGGTCTGCCAGGGTCACGCCCATCTACCTGGTCACACACAGGGGGAGTCCTTCTGGCTGGAGCAACATTCACTTGTGTGTCCACTCTGGGCAAACAGGAAATGTTGTATTTGACTGCTTGAGTGATGTTACATCCCACAGTGTGTGCTATGCAGCCTTGCTATAGCAGAGTTGTCCAGTGTGACCTCTGAGCTAGTCCTTTATATTATTCAGTTTCCCCATCTGATATTTGGAAATGGCTTACCTTTTATCAGCAGGCAAGGTAGGAAGACAGAAAAAAACAGTGTGTTTAATTCTAATGTGGTTCAAGAGGTTTGCAGTGCAATCCTGACTTCAATGGGACTTACTCCCAGGTACATACATATATACATCATTTCATTTGTAGGCCACCTTTCCATAGTTCAAGCCATGCTCAAGGCAGCTTAAAACATGGGAAAATACATAATTACAAGATAGCAAAAGAAGTTATAAACAATAAATAAAACATCAAAAAATACACTACCAAATTGCACAATTTCCACATATATCATAAGATACAAAATAAAGATACAAAAGATTAATATCAATAATAAAAACAAGTCCTCCACCACCACCCAAGGGTAGGGGTCTATTGAATTGCAGCCTTAAAGTCTCTTGCTGGCAGACCTTAGAAGTGGGGAGTGTCTTCACTGTGCAGCTAGTGCCCAATGGTAAAGCTACAATTGCAATAGACTTTGCAGCCATTTCTCTCCTAATCTAACTAATGAAGTAATCATGACTTGAGTGCTGGCAGGGATCCAGGCTGTGTGAATTGCTGAGCTGAGCTGCATGGCTTTGTCTGAAGTGAGCAGTTACCTGGCTCCCTCCAGGGCTGCGGATTCTTCAGGTATCCCTCTTCCAGGTGAGTGGTTCTGTGGGGGACCGTATCAGCATGCCAGTTGGCAGACTCAACAACTTTGAAAACAACAACAACAACAAAAAACAGGTCAACTTTTGTGTCCGGATTTTCACTTTTTGAAATATGGCAACCTTAATTTATCATGTTACTATTGTTTATTAAATTTGTATACCCATAGATCTCAGAGCGGTTCACAACACAAACGTACAACACAAAAAACAAAACAAAACACATAATAAAAATAAGGGCAGAAGCAAACCCATGATCCCTCCTTCCACGACATTAAAAGGGCATGTATTCTCGAGAAGAGCATTCTGGGCCTTCCCAACACAGACATAGACATGGTCTCTATGAGCCAGATTAATGCTGGATAAAAGCCATAATTTTCAGGCAATATAATCCAAATTCTGCATGGAGAAAAAAATGGATTCTGTAACCTGTAAATTGAATAATTTATAAATTGTATAATTTATAAATTTATGTATTGTATAAATTGTAAATTGTATAATTTATACATTGCATAATTTACTGTGCAATGCACATTACTTTGCCCCATTTAATCTAGTTGGAAGGAGCAAAGGGCTGCACAGGAGAAGCTCTACCATGAACTCCAGGAAACTACAAACGCTTTGGCAGTGCAAGAGGAAGTTGCAGCATGTCTTTCCCTAGAGCTTTTCAAGACAAGGTTGGACACGAATCTGTCATGGCTGCTTTATGTCCAGGAAATCCTGTCTCGGGGAGAAGGAGCTTAGCCGAGATGGTTCCCCGGGTTCCTTCCAACTCTTAAAGTTTTTTATGGTTCAGCAAAAGTCAAAGAGCTCAGCAAAAGTCTTGCGGGCCTAAAAAGAAGGCTTCCCCACTCCACTGCTTAAGAGCGCCAGATCTTTATGCTACTGTTGTGGGCAGACTAAGCTTGTGGTGAACTCTGTGGGAACACCTCCCTTCTCTTGTGGCAGCAGGCTGTTTAAGGAAGGCTCCCCAGATTAGCAGGAGCAGCAGTCCAAGTCGATGAAACTCCTATTCCACTGAAGTCCTGGATATTCTCGTTGGCTGGCCAGTCTTATGTTCCAGATGTGGGTCTTGGCCCCAGAGGATAGCGAGGCTCTGGCTAACTTGAGAAGCAGAAGCTCATCCACATTTCCATTTGTGCTGCGATTTCTAGGCACAGGTCTGTGATTCAGAGGCCTGGGTCTGGGCAGTTTTGTGTGTGTGCCCGCCCAATTTCCCCAGGAAAACATGCTGTTTACCACTGAATTGGAACAAATGTCAATTGAGTTGTCCATACTCCTTAAGGACCACCTGCTCCCATGCCAACCTGCCCAAACCTTTAGCTAAGCTGTTTCTTCAGGTGCCCCAGATACTGGAGGAAAGGCAGGTGGCAACCGACACCTTCCCCAAAGAAGTATACAGTCATGCCTCGGGTTGAATACGCTTCGAGTTGAGTGCATTTGAGTTGTGCTCTGCGGCAACCGGGAAGTAACGGAGCGCGTTACTTCCAGGTTTTGCCGCTTGCACATGCGCAGACGCTCAAAATGACGTCACGTGCATGCGCAGAAGCAGCGAAAAGCGATGCGTGTGTGCGCAGACGTGCCATCGCCAGTTTACGTTTGCTTCTAGATGCGAACGGGGCTCCGGAACAGTTCCTGTTCATATCTAGAGGCACCACTGTATCTGGTCACTTTGGGTGCTTCCAGAATGTCACCATTTTTAGGTGGGATTCAGTTACCAACAAATGCAGGTCGTGCAATTCAGGTTTATTTGGAGTTCTTGCACAACAGACCTGCCCCCCCGAAACTCCCCCCCCCAGCCTTTTTGCAGTAAGGAATGTGATGGGGAAAGGCACTGGAAAGTGTGAGATAACATTTGCTTAATGCAACATCATCTATCTTCCCCGGAAACAAATAAGAATGAATGCTCAGTAAATAGCCGTGACCTCTGCTCAACCTTTGTGCAAACACATCAGGATGAATGCTTAATAAACAGGTTGTGTGAAAGTGACCTTAGGCACCAGGTTAAGGTGTGATTGTTCTTTCAGGCATTTTAAACGATTTTATACTGTGTTAAGTAGTGGTGTGTTTAATGTGCGTTACACTCTGCTTTAATGTTCTGTTGTATTTCGTTTTGCTATTGTTGTTTTAAAGTCTTAAACTATATTGTAAACGTCTCTGGGATAATTTTTTCTGAAGGTTGGTGTACAAATATTCTAAAGAAATTTTAAAAATTAGGACTCTGCACATTATGTGATCCTCTTTGTGCATATTAAAAAAGAATCTGGAATTTGTGTGAAATCTCCATGCCGTGTGTATACACAGCGAAGAAGCTGCCTGTAGGAGGAATCCTGTAGGAAGTGAAGCAGCACTAAGTTGCAGAGTTTCACATGGTGCTAGTAATATTTACACATCACACAAAAGGAACACACCCTCAGCAGAAGAAAACAAAAGGGCTTCTCTTTCAGCAGCAAGGAACACCACAGAAGGACAAAACCCACAATGAATTCTCAGCGGTTTATTCAGGAATTAAGCCCTGTTATGTGTTCATTCCACTCAAAATGTGCCAACCTGGTGCCCTTCCACAGATGTTTTGCCCTACATCTGCCACCAGCCTCTGCCAGAATGGCCGTGCTCCATCAGCTCCAGCCCCCATACGGCTGGCCGGGGCTGAGGGGAACTGTAATTCAGAACTTGGAGGCGGGGGCAGCAGGCTGGTGAACGCTCCTCTTCTTCATTTAAACACTTCTTCATTTAAAGCAGGGATTCCCAAATGGTATGCAAATAGAGGGGCTGAAGGGTACCTTGAAACATTATGGATGAAGACATCATTTTGTAGAGCAGCGGGTTCAATTTCAAAGTGGCTCGGCTCCGTTCAGTTCAGGCAGAACACCTTTTTCCATCATCAGGGTCAAACTGCCAGGGAGGGGGGAATAATACTGCAAATTGTCAGTAAAAACCAGCTGTGGCTGGTGCTGCTTATGATGCTTGCGATCTGCCCTCATTCCCAAACTCCCAGGACAGCTTTGCATATATAAAAGGAAAAGTTTCTCTTTTTTCCTATGAAGAAGCTGAAGTGTGGGCCTATAAACAGATATCATTCATGTGACACTTTAAAGGCAGACAGCTTGCTCATGAACTGGGGAAAGACAGAGCCAGTGGCTGAATCAGGGCTCAGTTTGCTGCCATGTAGTCCCATTGTGGCAACTGCGAGCCCGAGAAGAAGCCAGGCTCACACAAGGACTCCTGTAAAGGCTCTGTTTGTATTAGGCCTTCTTTCACCCTAAGCCACCGTATTGGGTGCATCCACCACTTTATTTGGCAGGGGTGGGGGGGCCCTTTTGTGACCAAGGGCCACATTCCCTCTTGGGCTGCCTTCTGGGGGCCAAATGCCAGTGGCAGGTCCAAGGTTGGAGGAGCAGCCTTTCCGTAAATGGGCTCGTTTCTGCACATGCTCACACGTCCCTCTCTAGCCTGTGTCCAAACAACCAAACAACTAAGAGGCATTGTCGGAGTTCATGGACACATTTTAGCCAGGCAAAAACACTCGAGGAGGGTAGGAAGCAGGGCTGGGGAGAAGGGTGTGGGCCTTGGCACAGTCCCAAGGGGCAGCAAGCTCTGGAGATTCTGCAGCGCTGAATCCCTGGAGGAGGATGCGTGAGCTCATTCCTGCTCATCAGTGCTCTGGCCTTCTGGGGTCTGGTGCAGACAGAGGGGAGCGTTAACTCCCCCCCCCCCCGCCGTAACACCATTCCCAATCTCCCACAACTGCTTTTACATCTTGTCTGGCTTGGCCCTTAGGGATCCCCGGCTGCCAGCCTTGTTGCCAGTGATGTCACCGTCAGCGAAAGAGCAGCGTGCCAGTTTGCGTTGTCAGAATGCATATAGCTGATTTAATTTACTTGCTGCTGCTTGGCTTTGGATATAGCCAAGGTGGCTTACTATGACTTGAAGTGAGGGTCAAGAGTTCCAGCCTAATGCTGGGGATGATAAGAGTGGCCTGTTGGCACAGAAGCTTTTGGTTTGCATGGTGGTGCCAGAGTTCTGCAGTGGCCCTCGTGCAAGGGAGTAACGCAGCGCAACAGGGGAATCCAGTGCAGTGTTGCGCCAGCAGAGAATCATTGTGCAGCAAAGATGCCAGCAACTGCTTAGGCATTCCTTTGGGCAACAACATCCCACCAGTAGAGTAAGTATCCCACTAAGCGACTTTAACTTAGTGCTGCACTGGACACAATCCAATTTTTAGGCGCCAGGAGAAAACGTTCCTCTTCAACCAGGCCATAGGCTGATTAATATTCTACAGCCTTTTAAATGAGTCTGTGGGAAGGGTGTGCGTGTTGTTGTGCTGTTTTGTTTTACTTATTTTTATCCTGTGAACTGCCCTGAGATCTTATGATGAGGGTGGTATATAAATCTAATAAAATAATAATAATACAACCCAGAATACAGAAAGAGGATACAACTGTAGTGCTAACATAATAAGAGGACAGTCTAAATTTAATTAGTAAAAAGAAAATCATCCAAAAGAATGCTCACAGAGTGGCTAGCAAATTAAATAAAGTGGGAGGCAGCGAGAGATAGAGCTCTACCAATGCTTTAGCAAGAGGTTTGTGGTTCACTCCTAACCGACACCTTTGCATGGTGCTGGTGGGATCTGTCCAAGATGGTTTCATTGCCTGAGAGAAGGGAAACCCAAAAGGCCACTCACTAATATGGGGCACAATCCACCCAGTGGTTCTCCTGACACAAATCTCATGGAGTGAATGAAACCTGTGATGGGAGACTGAGGTCCCTCCAGACCAGCGGGGTTTTTGTGGGTGTATTCTGCAGCATGTCACAGATTCAGTAATAGTGCATGAGTTGTGAATTTATACTGGACCACCCACACATCCTCCCTCTTCAATCTTTGCTCTGTGATGCTTCCCCAGTGTTACTATACTGTCCAGAAGGGAACTCTTGTGCGATAGCACAGCGAATCCTGTCCCCACCTGAATATTTGTGGTTATGAAAAGTTACAGGATTCTAGCAGGAGGTTACGGGGCAGGTGCTGATTGGAGGCAAAGCAGTATGTTCATCCCAAAACCTTAGCAGACTCGAACAATTCTCAAAAAGTGGGATTCCATATGACTGCCCCAGTCTCCATGAATGCCCCATGAAAAGGATATCTGGAGGGGCCCTGAGAGCCTTGAAGAGAGAGAAAAAGAGTGGGGATCCTTAGGACGGATCCAAAGGGCACTTTGGCACCTGAGGCATACAATCCAAATGCTCCTGCCTGCCCTTGTTGGGATTTTTTTTTTTTTTAAGTAATAATTCCATTTAAAACCAGAAACTTTGCTGCCCTTTGGCAACATCACGAATCTGCCATGCTCTTGGCAGAGCTGGTCCATGGCATGATGAAGGAAAGGAAGGCTTCTTGGCATGGGGCTGGAGAGGCTGATGCTTTCTCATCTTTCCTCTAGACAACTGCGCAGGAACCTGAGTCTCTGTTTCATTACAAAGCTGCTGGGAAAGATGCAGACAGCAGTGAGCAATGAGGTTAGTGTGGGAAAACGTGGGAAGAGGGTGAACTGGTTCCAGGTCTGATGATGCTTTCCTGGGATCCTTCCAACATAGAATCATAGAATCAAAGGATCACAGAATTTTAGAGTTGGAAGGGAGACCAAGGGCCATCTAGCCCAACCTGCAACGCAGGGATCTCAGCTCATCCATGGCAGGTGGGCATCCAATCTTGGCCTAAAAACCTCCCAGAAAGGAGAGTCCACCACTTCCCAAGGGAGACCATCCCACTGTCAAACAGCTCTTCCCGTCAGACGGTTCTTCTTGAGGTTTAGTCGGAATCGCCTTTCTTGTATAGCAGGAGCTCCCTTGGAATACTGGCTATGGGTTTTTCTGGGAGCATGGCTGGCAGGGATCGTGCATCCTGTTTGTGGATGCTGAAACATTTGTGTAGACCAGCAGTTGTCAAAGTTTTGCCTGTGAAAGAGGCCTTTCTATGTCTGTGTGACTGTCAGTGAGTTGTTGCATGCCTTTCCCCAAGCTCATATACACATTTGGGGTGCAGACAGAGTGCCAGCCAGGCTCACAGGGCCCCAAGAAGTCCCAAGTGTGACTTAGAATGCATTCAGAACTCCCCAGCAGGCTGAGCACTGCAGATGTGCACGTCTGAGCATGTCTACCCAGAAGGGGAAGCGAAGCAGGTGTGACACAGGGCAGCCTGGCCCTGGCACAGAAGGAGAGCCACGTTGTGCCCTGCAAACTCCTTGTCAGCAGAAGGAACCTTTGCAGGTCAGAATTCTGACACACATTACGGCACAAAAGGACAAGTCATTTTATCTTGAGGAATACATTCCGGGGTGGGGGGGGATCTCCCAGGGAGCACATGCTGGTAGTGGGCAGGCTGGGGCCAGAAGTGGGCAGGACACCCCTTTTCTCCCTCCCTCGTTCTCTGTTTCTCTTCCCCTTCTCTCTATTACAGCCCGTGTTCTCCCTGTCCCTGCCCCTCTGCCACCGACTTCTCTCTCCCTCTCACTTCTCCCATTTCTCTTTCGTTTTCTTTCTTCTCGCCCCTCCCTGCATTTAGTCTAGAATCAGCCCTCAGGCTCACGTTGCCCACCCCGGGAATTAGAAAGGTGCATCTAGCCCCTTCAGAACCTTCCAAGGTGGCACACCCTTTAAGACATCTAGAAACCATCGTTTCTTCCAGCAACTTTTCTGCCCTCATCTGGGTTCCATCTCCGTGCGCCCCCCCAGGAGAAAGGGAGGAGGTGCACACCGTGGTTTTGTGACTGCCATGTGTGACTGGGTTCCAATCCTTCCTGGCTTTGATTTCTCAACTTTGAACGCAATGCCAGAAAATTAATATAGCTGCTTGCGTCTGGGACTCATAAAGGCTGATGGGATCCCTGCGGAGGAAAGCGACACGACAGCAAGGCCGCCTGCTCTTAGCATCCTTTCCAGCAGCATGTGCCCTGCTGTCAGCATCTCGTGTAGACAGGAGCATGTATATCTGTCATACATGAGGGGCCAGATAGTCTGGTAGAATGTTTTCTGTGTCAAGAGTTTTGATGAATATTTATTTATTTATTTATTTATTTATAAAAGTATTTATGTAACTACCCTCACAAAAGGATATCAAGGCCACTGGAAAAAGCCCGTGGGTCTTAAGCGCCAGTGCCATAGGTGCACTGCTGGGAATCCTGCTGCCCCCAAACTTATTTTCTCCTTCCTCCATATGCCTCCTGGTTAGCAACCAAGGATGGAGGCAGTAATCAGAAGGACTGGGTTTGGGGCCCAGCCAGGATGCCTGTTGCTGAAGCATTCATAGAATTGTAGAGTTGGAAGGGACCAAGAGGGTCATCCAACCCTTTGCAATGCAGGAATCTTTTTGACCAACGGGGGGAGGGGCGCTCGGACCCACGACCCTGAGATTAAGAGTCTCAGGCTCTACTGACTGAGACATTCATGCTGGTTTAAAGCAACCTTCCCCACCCTGGTGCCCTTTCTCCTGCTGTTTTGAACTGCGGCTACCTTCAGCCCCAGCCAGCAGAGCCAACGTTCAGGAAGGATGGAAGCCAGTACTTCCACATTGGCTGCCCTGCTTTACAGGAGGCTCTGCACCTCAAAGAGCTTTCGGTCAACGTTTTGGCAGGAGGGGCTGGTAGCAAAGCAAGAGAGAGAGAGAAGGGGAGTCACATCCACAAAGGCAGTTGCACATTCTGCTGTGTCTTTGCCTTTCACCTGCTCATGCCAGGTCCTTGCAGCACTCCATCGCTCTTGCTTCCCACCCTTCTGTGTCTTCCAGCCGAACTCTCCCTACTCAGTTTGAAGAAGGCTTGCCGGTTTCCCAGAGGCGCCTGGTTCGCCCCTGTGAGGACAGGAGGCTGAACTAGGTGGGCCCTCTTTAGCCTAATCCAGCAGGCTTTTCTTACGTTATTATGATCTTAAGCAAGCTGAAACATTTTTTTTAAAATCTGTAACTCTATTTGAATGATGCAAACTGATGAAGACTTGGCAGGATCACATAATGAAGATAAACTTTTTTCTCCTTATGAGCAATACATCAGCCCTTTCCCACACATTTCTGTATATTAGGCGTAGGCAACTGGAGGTCTAGCAACTCAATCTGGAACCCAGGGCTTCCCATCCGCTCCCCAGGAGGACCCCAAGAACCCCCACAATGTATCTGAGATGCTAGACAAATGACTCTTCAATCCCCCCACCCCAAGGCAGTGAACAGCAGTTCCCTCTCTCAAAGCCCTTGTGCTGCCCTTGCATTATGGACAAGAGTAAAATTTGGGGGGGGGGGTGCTACCACCTTGCATTATGGACAAGAGTAAAAGGTGAGGGGGGGTGCGTGCTACCAAGGCCTCTCTTGCTGTGCACCAGGGGCAAAACTAGGCTTTATTTCACCAGGGTCAAAGACCCAGTTTGGCCTCCCATGTGCATTTGCGTACACACACACAAACACACACACACGCTAGGAGCCTCAATGGTACCCCTTTGGAGGCTTTGCCCGGGGCAAAAAACCTGGCTATCCCCCCTGTAGCCCCCTGCTGTGCACCAACTTTTACCAACATTGGTGCTCCGCATATGTTTTGGACGACATCTCCCATCGGCCCCAGGTTGGTAAAAGTTTTGTGCGCAATGGAGAGGAGAGAGTTAAGGAGTCCTTTGCATGCAGCTTGGATTGCAAGGGAATGACTTGACAGACAAAGCCAGCTCTGGCTTTGCTTCGTTCAAAATCAACCCCCATTTTAAAAAATTAGTTGACGTCCAGAGCTGTATACTTTGTTTTCTGCTCCACCAATTGAATGTAATTTCGAAATTGCCAACTTGGCTTATTCCAAAGCCCATCACAGCAGAAACTCCTTTGGCTTCTGTGCTTGTGCGCAGAGAAAGGCGTGCAGGTGGGCGGCTTATTTTTGTATATTTAGCTCTATATATGTTTTGTGATTCATCCCAGCAAGTAAGCTATTGTTTAAATATTCTCCAAGGCTTCTTTTTAAGGAAGAAGAATAAGCAATCAGCAGGCACAATGGGGAGCGATGGGAATGGACGTGAGCGGAGAGGAGATCTGACAGATTGCTTTCCCTCTCCTCCCCCCCACCGCCCCCTCCCCTCCAGTGCTCTGTGGAAATGAAATTTCTGCTGATTTGTTAACATTCAAACCCACAACGAGGTTATGCAGAGTTAGAAGCACTTGGGAGGCAGGGAAAGAGTGCACAAGGAGGAATCGCTTTTACAAGGGCAAGTCTGCACAGGAGCTTGGCGGGGCAGTGGGGCCCCAGAAGTGCCGACTCAGCCCATCTGAGCTGCGCAAGGCGTGCTGCCTCAGGGCTCGGCCGGGGAGCAGGCAGCTGAGCCAGCCTGGAAACAAAGCTGCCCTCAGGCCTGAGGCAGTAAGCAGGCCGTTCTAACCTGCTGGCCAGGCAAGAGCTGGTTTACCCCGCCCTGCCCAGTCCGGTCTGGAGGCCTTATATATGCCGGCCAATCACAAGCACAGATGTGTGTCACATTACCGTTCTTTGAAGAAGGACTTTGTGGCTTGAGCACACCCAGTCCTTGAAAGGACCACCAGGTTCCCAACTCAAGCCTTAGAATTTTGGACTTTTATCAGGGATTAGCAGTGAAATTGCCAAAGTTTCTGAGAAGCTGGATCAGTTTTGTGACTCTGCTTAAGCCACCTTTTCCAGTTTCCACCATTTCAAGCTTCTTGCCAATTATTTGTTTAAATGCACAGTCTGACCTGGACCTATGATGTTATTGCGCCTTCTTCCTTCCTGGAGCCTTGGGAAATTCAGGGTGGCCTTTACAAGGCCAGCTTGAAGAAGGATCAGTACTGACTTATGGCATACTGAGTCAGCAGGCGTTGTGGAGGTGCAGAAACAAGCACACTTTTTATAGGCAGCTAAAAAAAATGTACTCATCAGCATGGCTGGATTATGGGCTGAGCAGAGGAAATAATTGCAACCAACCCCCACTTAATATCTGGATGCCTTGTATTCTTCATCCTTGTCCTGAACAAGCAGCAAAGGTTTAGGTCTGATGATGACAGTAATGAGATACGTCCTGGTTGCTAAAAAGACCAGTTAGGTTGCAGGGGAAGAAATAGTATATATCACCCATGCGGGCTAATTAATAAAAGAATGCGCTGGGTGCCTACATCCAGAAATGTGGGACAATCAAACTCCAGTAACAGAGCCAGAGTCCCAGCAACAAAGTTATAAACCACAAAAGTATAGCCTAGGAACATAGGCTGTTAGATTTAACCCATTTACAGCACTTCCCCATTTCTACCCTTCTTGCAATGAACATTAGCAAGTTTAAATGCATTACTTACAAACTCCAAAGATTAATGTGTTATTCCATGCAGCAGCAAGAAGAACACAGGTAAAAAAAAAATGTTTTACAAAATACAGAAAAATACTTCTCGGCACACAGTCTGGGCTTGAAGCGTAGTGTTGTCTTGGGCAACTTTAGAATGAACAAAGAACCTTTACTTCCATCTTCACCAAAGGTGAAGGGGGAATAACCCCTTCATGCATTAACTAGCCCTAAGCTTGCTAGCTGTATTTGACTGCAATGTCCCACATAAGTAAGGTTCCCCAAGGAGCTGTTTTGGTTTTCCACATGTTCATCAACAGCCTAGATATAGGGGAGAACGGTGAGAGGCCAGACTCGCTGATGACACCACATTATTCAGGTTGGTAAAAATAAAAAGAATTGTAAAGAGCTCCCAAAGATCTCTCAAAACCGAGTGAATGGGCAATAGCAAACATGGTTCGTTGTAAGTAAGTGTAATGTTAAGCACATCTTGGCAAATAAAAATAAATCCTAGCTGCATGCATACTGATGGAGTCTGATGTAACAGGAATGGGATCTTGGGATCATGCTGGGTAGCTCGGTCAAAACACTGCGCTAGAGTACACCAGCTATTTAAAAAAAAGCAAATTTCAGGCTAGAGATCATTAGGGAAGGGATAAAAAAATAAAAGTTCCAATATCATAACAACTTTATAAAACTCTATGGTATAACCAGAATATGAATACTGTGTTTGGTTTTTGATTGCCATATCTCAAAAAGAGTTGCAGAAAAAGTAAGCTAAAGTGATCTCCACCCCCTGCCCTATTTCCTGCCTTACGGGTGGCATCAAACCCCATAAATCGCGGGCCCCCTCTCCTGGGTCACTCCCCTGGACCCCTGGCTCTGCCATGTGCACTTTGGAGCCCCGCCAATCCCCGACACATGGCTGCTAGTCACAAACACCCGTTACTGGAGAGCAGCAGCTGGAGGAGGCTACTGCCCTCATGTACCACGAGATATGGGATTCTTGGAGGCATCTGCTTCGCCAGCACGAGAAACAGAATGCTGGACTGCACAGACGGTTCATCTAATCCAGCAGGGCTCTCTTAGTCTCACAGGCTCCCCCCTTCCCGCTAGCCTCCTTTCCCTCCCTGCTGGAGTCTGGATTTGACACCCACATTGCTACCCCCTCTCTCGTGCCATTTCGATGGGAGACAATGGTGAGGGCAAGGAATGGTGGCTTTGGGTCAGTGTCATGTGAATTGATCCCTTTCAGCAGAAACCCACATCCTATCCTACAGAAGGTCAGGCCTGGCTGGGAACAGAGGCTGTCTTTCTGAGTGGCCTTTTCCGTTCTCTCGGGGGAGTGGGGTGGGATTGGCTTCCTTCCATTTGCTTGCTGTTCCATTGCCTTTTTAGGCTTGAAAACCCAGGCAGGCAGAGACTGTAGCATTGATGGCAGCTCACAGAGCTCAAACAACATTATTCAGGGCAGACAGGGTGAAGCCTAAGAAATGGAGCTGGGACTGCCTGCTAGCTCGGGTCCTTATAGGGGTTGAGAAGTGCAACCCCCGCCCTGCAAGTTGCACTTCCACTTACATGTATGCAAAGGAAGGAGGAGAGTCAATAATCCAGGGAGAATCCCGGGAGCACGCCTGCAAAAGATGAAGCCCATCTCCCAAACAGTTCTTCTGCCCTTGCAAATCTCCCCTGCAAAAAGGAATGGCACGGAAATGTTGGATTGGTGTCTCTCGTAAGTCTGCCCTTGTGTCCCTAGATTGTTGGCTCATTTTATTTCGGTGTCAGGGTGCCTCCTATTTCATAGGGCTGCCTTTTTGCTGCAAGTCAGTTGGGGGAGCAGAAAACACAGAACTGCTGTCTGGTTGCTGGTGAGTGAACTGATCCCACAACTTCTGCCAAGGGAAGGGAACCTGCCGTGCAGCCTCTTCAAGAGACTTGTCTGAGCCAGGGAAGAGGAGGTTGCTCTGCTTGTTCATCCCCAGTGCAGCCTCCGGCCCTTATCCTCTGACTACAAGCCCACAAGCCGCAGTGCTCACTCCCATGTGACATCTGTGGGGTGCATGTGTGGGGTAGAATCCTTTGGGCTCTGGTTCTGTGGTTGGGGCGCACATCATGTGAGCAGCAAGTGGCAGCTAAGACAGGAGCCA